TTAAACATCTCAGTAGTCCAATTGGACGTGTAGCCTTTAGCAAAGACAGTCTTGAACTTGCTCACGCGCACCGGATCGCCCACTTTGAATCGTCGGAGCTGCAATCCTTACGTTGCTGTAAACCGTATCGAGGAGTTTTTTTTAGCGATCGTAAGGGTCACATCGGCAGGACGCATACCGATGGTTCGGTGCTTGCGCCTGTTGTACTGCGACACGAGACGCGGTAGTGAGTCGATCCATCTGTAGGTTCCTTGTAATGTAAACATTTTCCACATGTCATTCTTCAGCGTACGATTGAATCGTTCCACGACGGAAGCCTTCATAACTGAGTACGTCGAATAATGATTGATGTTGTGTTTCTTCGTGAGCCTCTGCACATCGGTATTGTAAAATTCCTTCCATTGGTATGTTTGCAAATTTGTTGGACATTTTCAGCTGTCTCGAATTATCTTGCCGAACGCCTCGACCACCTCCTTTCCGCTCTTAGTCTTTAGTGGCATGACCCAAGCATGCTTGCTCAGCACATCGATAACGGTGAGTATGTAGTGGTAGCCGCTGTTGAGCCGCAAATACGGACGCATCTCCACTACATCGGCCTGCCACAGATCATCGTATCCGCGCACAATGACGCGTCTACGAGGAAAATGTTTTCTCGCAGGAGCATGCAACTCCTCCACCAACCGTTGCTTTTCGGGGCTGTGTTGTTTCCCGTCTCCACCAGTCTTCCGCATGTTTGATCGCTTAGATCGCCTCATCACGAATGACGAAACTGCGAGCGCATCGTTTTAAATTCCGTCTATTCAACGCGTTCTCGCGCTGCAAACACTTTCTCCCATATGGCACGTGTTTCAGCATGAAGTCTGATCAGGTTTTTTTTCAAATTCCTCCTGTTTCTTTTCAAATTCTTGTTGTTTCTCTCTCAATGTATCGAGACCTCTTTCCACGTAGAGTCTATCGACGGCGTCACTGTCGGCTTCCGGTTGCGCTACGCGTCGTATCTTGCGCGGCCTCGCATCAAAGTCGGAGGCGACCATGCACAAAGTGTTATCGCGTACGTAATTTCTGAGTACTCCTCTCCACGTGTAATAGTCCATCGTCGGCGGTCCTCTCTTTTGGAGCGAAACACCAAATTTATTGATCGACATTTCGATGCAAATAACGCGCATCATCGATGTGCGATTCAATTTATAACCAGGCCCGCCTCGCGAAGTTCCTCGATAATGAATAAAATTTCATTGCCGTGAGCGTTATTGCCAGTTTGTCTGGAGGCTTCCAGCAATCGCAGACGATTCACCAGCTCGTTAGGATCGTCCCAGTGAACATAGTCAATCGCATTATCGTTCAGTATCATGGTACGCGGTGCGGCTAAATCTCTGCCCGCCATGTTGATCGATGTACCAATCATTAGGGGTGCGATTATTTTTTTGTATTTGTATCCCCTGTTATTCAATACTGGTTGTAGCGCGTTGTGATTGCGTCTGTGAGCGTTCGTCGCCAGTAATATACTTTTGTATTTTTGTTTATCGGCCTCCATGTAGACGGTATCGTCGGGAATTCTCTTGAAAATCAGCTCGTATAGACCAGATGTTCCCGCGTATTTTACACCGCCAATGAGCATATAAGGTGTAGTAAAAAGAAATCCATTATTTTTGCATGAAATTGAAGGCTTTATTTAGTTAGAATGATCCGATTTAGGTCAAATATGACCGTTTTGTTCGATAACTTGTTGCCATTTTGAAGGTAATTCCATTATGCTTCTTTCATAGAAACCCTTGTCCTTATTGGCAAAAAACTGGGACAGTCGATTTTCACAAGCTTCTCTTGAGGCGAATTTTTCACCAGCAAAATCATTTGCCATAGACAGGAACAGGTGGTAATCACTTGGTGCCAGGTCCGGACTATAAGGTGGATGCATGAGAACCTCCCATCCAAGCTCCCGGAGCTTCTAGCGAGTCATTATCGATGTGTGTGGCCTGGCGTTGTCCTGATGAAACACAATTCCTCTCCTATTGGCCAAAGCTGGCCGCTTCTGGGCGATTGATTCCTTCAGACGGTCCAATTGTTTACAGTATAAGTCCGAATTAAGAATTTGGCCGTAGGGGAGCAGCTCATAGTGGATGATTCCCTGCCAATCCCACCAAACACACAGCAAAGCCTTCCTGACCGTCAATCCTGGCTTGGCCACCGTTTGCGCTGGCTCACCGCATTTCGACCACGACCGTTTTCGCTTGACGTTGTCGTAAGTGACCCACTTTTCATCACCAGTCACCATCCGCTGCAGAAATGGGTCGATTTTGTTGCGATTCAGCAGCGATTCGCAGATGGAAATTCGGTCCATGAGGTTTTTTTGCGTTAACTCATGTGGCACCCATACATCGAGCTTCTTTTTGTATCCAGCCTTATTCAAGTGGTTCCAAACGGTTTTTTGTGCAATGTTTAGCTCCTGGGCAATCAAAACAGTGCTTACATGACGGTCGGACTCGACGATTTCCATTATTTTATCGACATTTTCGACAATTGGCCTTCCAGAACGTGGTGCATCTTTGACATCAAAATTACCGGAACGGAATCGACGAAACCAAAATTACGCGTGATTGGCTGTTACAGTATCAGGACCATAAACGCTATTCACATTTTCAGCCGCCTGGTTTGCGTTTTCGCCTTTATCGAAGAAAAACTGTAAAATATAGCGTATTTTCTCTTTGCTGGTATCCATTTTTGACGCGCGCTCAAACAATACTGAGTCAAACAATCACAAAACTGTCTGAGAAGTTTTTTTTAGTACAAAATCTTATCTTTCTAACGCCATTTAGCGTAAACCGATCGCACTTATACAACGCGAGATACACATTACTAAAGCCATCTATTGGAAAAATAATGGATTTCTTTTTACTACACCTTCTATTATCGTCAATATCCACGTCGAAACTTTTATCGCCGAGCTTCATTCCATCACTACTGAAATATACACCGTATACGTAGTCTATAGTGGTATGTTTGTCGCTGCTTCAAACTGCTCCCATGTATTTTTGCCCCAGTGGACTAAAAGGGAGCGGTGCACTTGGACACGGTGCATTTGGACACAGCCAATCACAGCACCGTGTGATTAGAGACATTTGTAGGGTCCCTTGGAACAGCGACTTGTGATTGGACTGTGTCCAATTGCCCCGTGTCCAACTGATATACACCCGGACCAAAATGCGTGCGCAAAGTTTCCTGTCCCTCGGACGATTACAACTCACGTATAATCGATGTTACGAGTGAATCGCCAGTGGTCTCGAAAACATCTTCATTATTGGTGATCAGAGTAACGCGTGGTGGAGACATTTCACGCAGTTGTGTACAATACAACAATTGTGTACAGACAATTGTCTGTTGGCGTGGAGGTTATCGTAGGAGAATCCGTCGTGACGTTTGATTTTCTCCGCTTCTGGTAGATCTGTGTAGAGGCGACAAGTAAGCGTTTGGCTCTTCTCATCTCTGGTTTCTTCTCATCGATCGATAACGCATCATTTCCTAGTATGGTTGATGCGTCAGGTTTCACATGAGTGGAATGTTCCACAATCTGCCTCAGAGACTCGATAACAGATCGAAAGTGTCTTTCCAACGCAGTATCTTCCGATATCTTACCGGTTTTTAAAGCTCGATATTTCTTATGGATCAATTCGCTCGTTTTCGCAATTTCCTTCGCCATCTTCTCGCCATGTTTAATCTCTGAGTCGCTAATCTCTGTCTAATCTGACGTCACTATTACGATGTATTAGACGTTTCCTCGTTGATGCACAAACGACAAATGGTCACGTTACTGTATTGCAAAATCGTTAAATCCTCGCCGATATCGTCCATTAGTTATAGAACTGTCCTTGTATATCATTACGAAATCATATTTTTGCTGTCAACATTCGTGACACAGCGCACAAACATCTTCTTACGTTATATCAGTGTTCATGTGATCTTTGTAAACGTGTTTCAGATTGGTATCATCCTGCTTAAAGAGAATCAGCAGATTTGCATTATAAAACATGTTCGTATTATACAGGGTGAGTCATTTTAGTCTATGGATCCGAATATCTTCCAAATTACGGTATCTACAAAAAAATGGTTTAGATAAAAGTTGACCAGGACAGAGGGGGTCATTCAATTGTACCATTGGTTTTGACCTTGAGGTCAATTTTGAAGGTTACTTCAAGGTCACGATGGTTTTTTCTAATGGGACACCCTATTTTTGACTGCGGGTTTCGAAAGGGCGGAAAATTTTACATTAAACTTGTCTTATAAAAAAATTGTTTTTGCGACCTTGGAAAGGTAAAAAATGAAGGTGAAATGTCTGAAAAACGATCTGGTGTACTTTTTCTGAAATGACGTGGTTTTCTGGGTAACACAAATGTGCATAATGCTTAAACAAAGTCAATGAATTGTAAAAGTGTAAATCCAAATTTTTCAATTATGCAGAAGTGAGTAAGAAAGAAAAAGAATAATAACGCGTTGACGTCATACCACCCACCCCTGCCCCCCCTCAGAGGACCTGGGTTAGAACCGGCCTACCATACCTACTGATGTATAATATATATTTAATATGTATATATATATATATATATATATATATATATATATATATATATATATATATATATATATATATATATATATATATATATATATATATATATATATATATATATATATATATATATATATATATATATATATATATATATATATATATATATATATATATATATATATATATATATATATATATATATATATATATATATATATATATATATATATATATATATATATATATATATATATATATATATATATATATATATATATATATATATATATATATATATATATATATATATATATATATATATATATATATATATATATATATATATATATATATATATATATATATATATATATATATATATATATATATATATATATATATATATATATATATATATATATATATATAATATTGTTTAATTTATTATATCATTCACTTCGCTGTCGGCAATGTCAATGAGTTCTATATTATCCTCTTCGCTGTCGGCGATGTCAATAAGTTTTCTATTATCCTTCTCTTCATTCTTCTCATCGAAGTCGGCGATGTCGTCATCCTCCTCCTCCTTCTCCTCCTCCTCCTCCTCCTCAGAGTCAGCGATATCGATGACTTCTATATGTTTTGAAATCAAATTCAAAGGTTAATTTTAACGTTTTTCTATAGAGGAAAAATCGAAAATTTGATGGCAAATTATAAAAAATGTTGTCTGCTCTCTCACCTATGGCCGTTTCATCATCATCCTCCTCGCTGTCAGATGATTTTGGATCATATGCACCTAAAATCATATTTAAAGATTAATTTTAACGTTTATGTTTTATACGGAAACACGAAATTTGAATGTAAACTTACGTATAATTTGTCCCAACCACTCCGCGTTATGTGGTCTTCCTCGAACATTGCTAAAATTGGGTTAATTATTATTTTAAAAAATATAATGAATCAGGATTATTATACAATCTATTAAAAAACTTACGTGAAGAGTTTTATATCCAAACCATCTCCTCAGGTAAGTGTCTACGAAATTCTGTTGTGTACAACATTTTTCTTGTATTTCTTGCGATTCAATCTTGGACTATTTGTCGGCGACTCCTGGATGACTTTTATATCATCCATCTTTTTCTAACAAATATGTTTCGAGGGATTGCAAATGTGCAAAATCAGCACAGTCTAACGTGCTCCTTAATAGTAACATGTCGCACATGCAGTTTGACGACGTCTTACAGTCAACCGCATCCGCACATTGATGTATCAGCACAAAAAATGTTGCATTGTGATATTTAAGATTGCACTGAGAATTTCTCAAATTTATCATTTAATCAGTCAATTAATGTGCGGACATAAATATCAGATCCCACTCACTATACGGACACCGTTGACATCGTCGTATTTCATCGGCGTAAAGCATAAATTCATTAGATTCATCGTCCGAAATGATTTTATCTATTTTTGGCCACTTCAAACTGTCTCGATAACACTTGCAAAGTTCATATTTATCGTGACGCTGTATCTTCAGAATTGGCATATCAGCACTTCACAAATCATCATATAAATGTATGTCATGGAACAACATTATACGTGTAAACTTGCCACTACCTGCCGGAATTTTAATATAGAAATTTTTGCCGTTCAATTTGTTGCTTGTGTCTTGTATCTGTTGCTGCTAGGACTTCGACTAAACTGTGTGCCAATGTAATAATCATGATTTTATATGTTTCAATACTTACAAAGTATGCATACTTCTATGATCTTCATGATAATATTTAGTTTCACATTTTTTGCGCATCTTACTGTCAACCACAAATCAATGCACTAAAACGCTACATTGTGACGCATAAGAGAGAGATCTTACATGAATACTTTTGGACTGTACTTTTGATATGAATATCGGAATACACCGTTTTGGTAATCGTTTTTACGATTTTTGGTATCCATTACCGTTCTTTACCGTTTTTTTTTTTATCGTATTTACCATTTCATTGCCGTTCTTTACCGTTTTCCCTTATAAAAATATCATACTAAGAATCATTGATAATTACTTATTATTCAGTATTTTTAATACTGAAAATAAATTATCAATGATTCTTAGTATAATATTTCTATAAGGGTTTTACCGTTCTTTACCGTTTCATTACCATTTCTTTACCGTTTTTTACCGTTTCTTTACGGTTTCATTACCGTTCATTACCGTTTTTTACCGTTATTTATTGTTTCTTTACCGTTTGTTACATAATATATTATTCATAACACGCAAACGCTTGCAAAATCTTGCAAAATCTTGTCACGGGGGCACAGTGTACGAGCTAATTAGTAATAAGAATATCATGGAAGTGGAACAAAATAATCAAATTCCCTTTCTGAATGTGCTAGTCCAAAGGAACCAAGATGGTGACCTTAGGTCACCAGGTCTACCGGAAACCAACACATACGGACCGCTATCTGCATGCAACCTCTCATCATCATCCCTCGCAAAAGAATTCTGTCATAAGTTCATTGGTTTACAGAGCGCTCACAATTTCAGAATCATCTTCTCTGGATGGAGAATTAGAACACCTCAGTACAGCCTTAACCAAAAATGGATACAACAGCAAAAACATCTCGCAAACAATACAAAACCTGAAGAACAGAATGCTCAGTCCTAAAAACGCTGACACACTAGATGAAGAGAGAGAAAAGAAAAAGACGGCTGTCCTTCCATATCTCCAAGGCATAACAGAACCGATCAGCAGGATTCTGGATAAACACGATATCAAAGTAATCTTCAAACCCCATAGAAAGATTTCCCATTTACTCCCAAATCCGAAGGATCATAAATCATGCCTAGAGACTTCAGGTGTATATAAGATCCCTTGCTCTTGTGGTAAAGTTGATATAGGAAAAACCGGGAGGATGATCAGTACGCGAATCAAAGAACACCAGCGATATACTAAGTACGGCCACTTTGCTCAATCAGCCCTAGCTGAATACTGGATGGAGACTGGACACTCCGTACAATATGACAAGGCCACCAGACTGGCTCCATCACAGAGCTATTTTGCCAGAAAACATTGCGAAGGTTTTGAAACATCCCAACAATCTCAACCGAGACAAAGGTATGCAAGTAAACTCTATTTGGCACACTGCCCTCCCGGTTTTTTAATTGACCAGCTGATCAATTAAAATGCGCTGATTGGCTGGATTCAAGCTACTTCCCCTACCCCCAGCGCCATCTACACAAGGGGTAGGGAGGCATATAAGGACAACCTTTACCCAAGGGAGCTCAGTATCAGAGTTCTCAGCCTTGATGTTGCAAACTGCAACGTTTGCGAAACGTCGGCACATCGCTGATTCAAGACACGGCTCTATTCCGGAAGCTATACCTATAAATTATGTAAATATATATGTTGGTAAAAATTAAATAATTAAATGTTGGTATATAATATCGGTAATAAATTACCGATCGTTGGTATTATGTAAATATGCTGGTGAAAATTACGTAAACATATGTTGGTAAAAATTATGTAAATATATGTTGGTAAAAAATTAAATAATTAAATGTTAGTATATAATATCGGTAATAAATTACCGATCGTCGGTATTATTGGTATTATGTAATTATATGTTGGTAAAAATTATGTAATTAAATGTTATATAATATCGGTAAAAAATTACCGACCGTCGGTAATATCGGTATGTTCCCCCAAATTACCGTCCGCTGACACCCCCTCCCGCAGTGACGTCACCCCCCCCCCGGGGTACTTACCCGCGGTGAAGCAATACCCCTCCCCCGCGGTGACGCAATACCACCCCCGCGCTACCCTCCGCGATGACGTCATACCTCGGCCCGCGGACCTTCCGCCCCTCACTCTCCTAGGAGGACCATAGGTTAGAACCCGTATATCATACCTACTCTTTAATAATTCGATTTGTTTAATTTGGATTTTCTTGAATTTTTAATATTTCTGTTGTTTGGATTAATCATTATAATATTCTGTTAAAAAATCTAAAAATAATTATTGCTGGTTCACTACATTATATCAATATTCATCGCATATCGAATGTTGTTGCATTGTTTCAATATCTATCAGCAAATTATCCAACAAACCCCAAGTAAAAATTATATAACTATTATTTGATGGTTACTAGGTATGTTATAATATATTGTGAACACTATAAGGATACAGTGTATAAGCATAAATTGTAAGAACATCGCTTGAGTCATTAGAGTTACAGCGTGTGTGCTCGATCGTCAAGTTAAGTTCAACGCAGTCAGGACATGGATGGGGGACAGGTAATATTACTGCTTGGGATCGAAATTATCGCTGGAAGATTCACGAAAGTTTGGAAAATTTGGTTGTTGACAATCTTTGATACCTAGTGGTTTATGAGACATGAGAAAATTATGAATATATAAGTATATTTTTTAAAATATTATGATTTTCTCATTTTTCACCTTCGCACAATAATTTTCAGTATTTGGTTTCTATCAATATTTAACAATGATTTTATTATCAATATTCACCAGAAATTAAGTACTGGCCAAAAAATTACTGAATTACTGATAATACTTAATCACTAATAATTTTTCAGTATTTCTTAGTATGATATTTTTGTAAAAACTAAAGCATTTATATTATTTGTAATGTTTTTTTTCCACTAATTACAATAAAGCGAAGTGTGGAGAAGTCAGTGCTTTTTGAATACAATTAATATCTTTTGTAATTGTCGAAGAAAAAAGAAATGCTGATGGCATATAAACACTTGACTGCGACGTTGAGACGTACGTCGCGCTCAGGTTCTTCATGCTGCTAACGTTTATTGCATAATTGCGGCAAGAAACTAAAGTATCAATTGCGTTCGAAAAGCACTGACTTCTCCACACTATACTCTATTGGAATTAGTCATTTATAATATTATGAATAATACCCTTGCTTTAGGTAAAATGTAAACGTGCATACGATTCGACGTCACGGTGAGGCTCTTACATGCCGCTAACATTTATTGATTGATTTCGGCTACTACCAAAGACATCGGTTTCGTTCGAAAAGCATGTACTTCTCTATATTTTACTCTATTGAAATTAATGGTTTGTAATATTACGAATAATACCATTGCTTTAGGTAAAGCGTGGAAACGCGCGTACGTCTCGACGTCGCGTACAGGCTCTTATATGCCGCTAGCATTTATTATTTATTCCACAGCAACTACAAAAAAGATATCGATACCACTCAAAAAGTATCGACTTTTCTACAATTTATTGCAATTAGAGATTTATAATTATAAATTAGAAGTTACAAGATATCGATTTCATTAAAAAACACTGACTTTTCTACGCGTTTTTCTCCTACACTTTACTTAACGCACTAGTATTAATATTGTAGTATTAATATACATTTAAAAACTTCTAATTCCAATAGAATGAATTTTAGAAAAGTCAGTATTTTTTTAATCACATCGATGTCTCTTTTGTAGTTGACGAAAAATAAGCAGTAAATTCTAGTGGCATGTAAGAGTCCGCAAAATCGAGACGTACGCACAGTCGTCGCATGGGGTCTTTAAAAGAATATTATATCCAAAATAGATCTCTTCTTATAGTTTATATAAACCCAAATACCTAATTAAACAAAGAAAATATTATATAAATTTTTTATATTGGGGTCTCTCAAAATCCCATGCGTCGACTCGTGTTCGCAAAGTAGCGCGACGATTGTAGGGTTAATACCGCTAGCAATTACTGTTTATTTCTCGACAACAATAGATCAATGTCATTAAAAAAGTACCGACTTTTTGATAGTTTATTCCCAGACAACATAATGTCTAAAATCAGGATATAAGATGTCTTAAAGGTAATCTTTAAGACGTCTTTCAGATTTACGTATGTAAATGTCTTTAAAGCGTCTTAAAGATTATCTTTAAGACGTCTTATGTCCCGATTTTAGACATTATGTTGTTTGGATTTTATTGGAATTATAATGATACAATTAATACCGGTGAGTTAAATAAAGTGTGGAACCGCGCGTACGTCTCGAAGTTGCGGTCAGCCCAGATAACACAGAAAATTCAAAAAAAATTCAGTCATATGTCACCAATTTTGAGTTCATTTTTAGATGCAAAAAAAGTTCTTCAAAGTTTAGTTT